ATTGTACATCAGAATTTATAATTTGTTTGTTAACTGTTAACTGCCCCTGATGAAACCAAACAATCTCTAAGTTCGACTGGCTACACATGGAGGAGACTTTTAAGATGACTTCATTGGTCATTGGGACAGGATCACCACTGTCATGGGCTTGTAACAGAAATACCTCTCCAGTCTGCATGTGTTGTTTTTCAGGACAGCTTTCTGTGTAATAATGCTTGCAAACACATTTAATCAACCTGTGTACCCGTAAAATGAGCAGTAGAAGAAGATAAAGTCCAATGTGATGTAATTAAATCTTCTAACTTCAGGCTCTTGCACCATAAATTCACACAAAAAGACAACAATTTCTAACTTTGTAGTTTCCTTTCAAAGAACCCAGTTTCCACTCTTAACAGAGCTTCAGAAGTCTGTGGCAGATATAAGAGAACCAGCTGGAATCTCAGCAGCACTACATAAATCAGATCTTTATAGCAGCGACATGCTGGGGCTTTTACAGGCAAGCAGAGCTGCAGAACAATGCAGCATACAACCAAGAAAACATAGGAGTGTCTTCAGGACAAGTGTCTGACTGTCCAATGGCCTAGCAGAAGCCCAGATTTAAAATGAATAGAATCGCAAAAATCAGAGCACACTTGCATTCAGCAGTCCGGCTTGTTGGTAGTTGATTGTTAGATATGTATATGTGAGAATAACTCCTTTTGCATGATTTAAAAAAATGACATTCTTTGTGTGTTTTTCACAGTTTCATTTCCATAGGCTGAATCATTTTTCAATTGGTGTTGACAGCTGTAATTTTGAAGGCTTATTCCATGAGCCTTTGCTTGGCTTTAAACTTCTCTCTGCCACACATACATGCACACACGGGCCTGGATCAATCAGCTGTAGCTGCCCTGCCAAGACAAATCATGTTGACATCTATAGCAAGGGATAGTAACACAGGTCCTGCATGATAGCAGCGCCGACCTGAGCCAAACTGTTACGGTATCCTCCATAGTCCAAAGTCTGTTTTTAAGAAGTCTCAACTCTGTGTTATTGTAGCCTCTTACTAAGGCTGAGTGGCCCAAGAGGTAAAGTAAGTTTTCCTCTAACCAGAGGGTCAGTGGTGCAAGCTAGGCAATGATACCAAAATTGCCCCCTACACATGCTCATAGCTGGCTGAGTGTAAATGATGTGTGATATGGAAAACTAGAAGATTGGGTAAATATGACCTGTAGTTTTTCTCTTAGTTCTCTTTGAATGGTGGTGAAGACAAGGTGCTAATTACTAACCCTAACCCTAAAGTATGATGGTGCCATATCATTAAGGCTTTTGTAGGTTGAGGAAGAAAATGTTCAACTGTATTCTAAATTAAAAAGGAAGCCAGTTGTTGTGTGGTGTGGTCTCAGGAATAAGACGATGCCAAAGATCTCAACATGCTGTTTACTTTTTAAACAAATGGTTTTACGGTAGCAGTAGCACACACTCAGTAGTTTCCATCTTGTATTCTCTATCCTCTCTTACTCTCTATGTACAGGAGAAATGTGATCTCTTTTCCTGGTTATTTTCAGTCCGCATGCTGGAGCATTTTGGACAAGTCTTAAAAGACTTACTGGTGGAGCCTGATAAAAGGGAATTACAATAATCAAGTCTGTAGGTGGTTAAGGCAGTCATGCCTGATTTTTGTTCCATAGGTGGAAAAGGCAGTCCTTGGAATTTGTTTTAAATGTAAATGACAAATCCAGAACAAAAATAATACGAATCCTAGCGAGTTAGCTGGATGCAAGAACGATGCCATCCAGAGTAGCTATATCATTAGATAATGTGTCTCTGATGCCTATTGGACCAAGTAGAACATCTGTATTGCCTAAGTTTATTAGGGGAAATTGCATGTCACACAGGTTTCTATATGTCCTTAGGTTTAGTTAGTTAGTGAGTTAGATTTTTCTGGTTTCAAAGATAAGTGTAACTGGTTATTGTCCACATAGTAATTCATTTAAGTGTTTCCTAATGGAAGCATATATAAGGTTATTATTGGATATACAGTATAAGATAATATTGGATTATTGAAGAAATGGGCCAAGCACAGAACCCTGAGGATCCCCCATGATTAACTTTGGTGTGCACAGATGACTCATCGTTGATTCTATTGATCTGATGAGAAGGATTCAAACCAGCTTTAGACCATTCCTTTTAACTGTTCTTGTCGATGTGATGATCGATAGTATCAAATGCTGCGCTAAGATTAAGGACAGAGAAGATCACTTTAGCTCAAGCTATAAAAGCACTCTCCTGGCTACCTGTCATGGCACTATCTAGTCTTTCATACTTCCTCCTGCACCAATGGCATCATATCTATTCTTGGATGTGGCATTTGTGTTTGTGTCTGTCATCTTTCCTCTTTTTCG